TCACTCTTATCTGAAAAGCCTTACTGGATGAGTCTTTGTTTTACATTAACTAAAAGATGCAGCTGACTAGAGATACCATATGGCTTACTTGGAAGACTCTTCCAATCCGTGAACAGCACTTGAGTGATGTTCACATAATATAAGATTTCATGTGAGTCTGTTCTCTTCACTACCATTGGTAGTGAGAGAGGAAATATGGTGCACACATACACACAAACACACAAAAACCATACACACAAATATTTTGGTCATCTATTTTTAATATAAATACAAACACTATATCTACAGGTGTATTGTGTATGCATGTGTGTTCTGTGCATGCTTTTATAATCTGGTGTTGAGATTCCAGATGCTTTTTGGAAAAACTTTGATGTTATATATGTTGACTGCAGCAAGACTACTTTATGCAAAAAAATGGAAGGACATTTCAATCCCCACAATGGACGAATGGCTGCAAAAGTAGATGGAGTTAGCAGAGATGGCTGAATTGACTGCTTTGATCAAAGAACAAAACATAAGTACTTTTGTTTCTACTTGGAAACCGCTTCTGAACTTTGTCCTTGAGGTAGAAAAAAATGAAACTTTGATTTTCGGTTTTACTGATTAGATTTGTTGTTATAGAAATGGCTAGTTTATACTATTATGGAAAAGTAAAATGTTGAGGTTTGATGTTACTGTCTTATTCTACTTCACTAAAGGGAGTCAGAAATCAATGCCTTTTTTTCTTTTTTCCCTTCTTTTCTATACTTCTCCCTTCCCCTCTCTTATTTTTCCTCTTATTTGCTTTTTTATTTTTGTATTTTATATTATAAACTAATAAAAACTGTAAACATGACAAGATTCCAGATGCCTTTAAAGATAAAGCTCCATTTTCAAAGGCACTCTGAAAGCCCTACAATCAGCAGAACCATTGAAGAATTCCCACACATACACCTAAGTAAAGCAAAAACGTAATCTCTCTTTTCTCCTTAAATGTCTTTGTGCTGGTTTGGTCTGATTACATTATCTTTTGCCCTATTCTTGGTAGAATGCAAAAACTTTTCTAGTTGGTTAGGGTTGTTTTGTTGAGCTTTGGGGGATATGTTTACATGTACATTACATGTACATTTTTGTGCATGATTGATGCAGTCCATAGTACATTCTTCTACAAAGACATGTTTTAATTTGTTGACTGGCCTGTCTGCTAAAGTGCATTTCAGGCGCACAAAGTGTGAGGTGGATTTGTTTGCTTTTTCTAAGAAGTGAATTGTCCATGATTGTTGCTTCATCTTTTTTGTTGGTCATTACTGAGTTTTTAGAATATAAATGCAGACATTGGGATAGCAAGTTTTATATTTCCCATGTAAGGCTTCTTTCCTGGATAGAAACATTTTATCTGCCTGCCTGCCTGCCTGCCTGCCTGCCTGCCTGCCTGCCTGCCTGCCTGCCTGCCTGCCTATCTATCTATCTATCTATCTATCTATCTATCTATCTATCTATCTATCTAATATATCTGATGTGTTCATTCTGTGAAGCAGAAGCTACCATATTGCTCCACCTATTTGTCTTTTCAGCATCACTCATCTGGAAAGATGTAAAATTTTTCAAACATGATCTCCTGAACCTCCTGTATCTGATGGTTCAACCCAGTGGTGAAATCTAAAATTTGTTACTACCGGTTCTGTGGGCGTGGCTTTGTGGTGGGGGTAATGTGACTGGGTGGGCATGGCCAACTTTTTTTTTTTAACTTCTAAAACCATTTTTTCTACAACCTCTTTGGCTGAAGAGGTTGTAAAAAATGCTTTTAAAAGCCTCTGACGATCCCAGCTGAGTTGCCTGATCGTCAGAGGCTTTTTTTTCTTTTAAAAACATTTTTTCTACAACCTCTTCGGCCAAAGAGGTTGTAGAAAAAATGCTTTTAAAAATTAAAAAAAAAGCCTCTGATGATCGCGTGGCTCAGCTGGGCATGGGGGGGGGGCAGGGATTTTTGCTACCAGTTCTCCAAACCACCTGCCTCCATCGCTACCAGATCAGGTGATCCGGTCCGAATCGGGAGCATTTCACCCCTGGTTCAATCTATAAATTAAGTACTGAAGCAACAGAAGATAGTTTAAATTGATGGCTATTTACAAACTACCCTATAGTAAAATAGGGGAAAAAGTGTGATTTTAATAAACATCTCAGAAATTACTCCTCTTGGCATAGACTAACTAGGATTCATTTTCTGTCTAGCTTTCAGGGCAAATTACTTGTCAAGTTTGTAATTGGGAGTTCTTAAAAATGTTTTAAAATAATCTGTCCATTTTTTCTGCAAGTTGTCTAGCTGTTAGCAGTCAGTACTGATTGCTAGCTTATCTAGACTTATTACTCTGGAGCATTAAAAATAGGATCAAGAGGTTTTTTCTATGTTGCTATTACCTATGACTGGAAAATTTAAAATGCTTTGTGTTCTATTCTGAAGGAAGTGTTTCCAGTTTTATTGTGATGAATTTTTATATGTTGTTTTGTTCCAAGTTCAAAACAAAATCTTTGCTGTTTTATGTACATCCTTAGAAAATCCCCAAAAGTTAGTATTATTCCAGATTGAGCTATATGCCCTCTTTCACATTCCTTCTTTCATTATTGTTATTTTTTAATAATTTATTTTCAACACCAACTTTTTAACTTTGGTCCAACATGAATTCTTTAGTTTAATCTAGAGAGGTATCAAATGCAAATTCTTGTTTTGCTACCTTAACAGAGTGGATGGTTTGGGTGGTTATTTATGCTGTCATATATTATTTATACCTATGTCTTTGATAACAACTTTAATTATGTTGTCTACCTATTCTTTCCCTTTCTCAGTTAATTATAGTCATTATCATCTCTCCATATCATAAATCTGCAGATAAATCCCATAAATAAAATCTAGTTCATACACAGCTATTGGTTCCATGTGATCTGGAACAAATTAATTTAGCTTTAGTGACTTCCATGTTTTCCTTCATACAGTCTTATTTTGATGTGTATATTTTTAATTCTTCCAATTCCTCCCTGGCTTATGTTTGCAGGTTTGTCCTGTCCCCCATCTTTTTTTCCTTTCTCATTTGGACAGCTTTTCTATCCCCAGTATTATTTCATATGTATGTTTTAACGGCACCATGGACTACCAGTGTATATTACATTCCTTGTTTGCTATTTGTTAAATGCATGTTTTGCAGTATAAATGAAGGAATGTGGCTTTTCTTGTGTTACTGAACCACGATTCCTCACTACTGACCAGTTATTGGGAATTGTAGTTTTGTGGTATCTATTTTCTAAGCTTCTAACTGCTGTTCTACATTATCCTGTGGAAAAGCATATATGTGATTCTGTCTTTGTCTAGCACCCAAGACATTGTTTTTCTGAATATAATAGGAAAAGGCTCACATAACCTGAAAAGAATTTGGTACATTTTCTTTTTCAGTCAAGTCAATAATTTCTGGCACCAGCCTTTATTGACTGATTCCAGGTTTGCTTAGAGGATCCCCTATGACCTTCTGACCCTACAAAATGAGGTGGGAATTTAAAATGTAGTGCTGCAAATAATATTAACTTATTGTAAGAACAATGGGGAAAAAATTCAGGGTTATCAAGTGAATTTAACTGACCTAATTCATGTCAATGTCATAAGGCAGAGACATGAATACTGCATTGGATATTCTTCTAAAGAATGCAATAAGTTTATGCAAGACAAACAACATTCGGTGTTAGTCACAACAGCTAAAGGAACTTCCAGTTCAGCAACAATATGGTTCCAATTATCAGTTGCTAAGGAAAACCACAGGAAATTGCAGTTTGTGCCTTCCTTGGACAACCTCTTTAAAGTCTCTGGCCAGTCATTCTTGGAAGTAGCTAGGATCTATCTCCACTCCTATATATGAATACTGAGAACTTTGGGTTTTCAACCAAAGCCCTTTTTATTGCTCACCACTATTTGAAGAATGTTGAGTGTTTACTTGTGAATAGGTGTATGGGGTCTTTTGGTAGCTGCCTTCAGTCTTGGAATTTGCTCCCAGAGAAAGAAACTTGGTATTCCTTCCACTCCCTTTCCAGGCCAGGTCAAGTCACTACCTTTCAGATAATGACTGTGCCCCATTTCGTCTACTGGCTGTTCTTCTTGTTTTTCTTGTTTCATGTGGTCTTTTTATCAATTGGATGTTTTTCACTGTATGTTAAATATATTTATTATGTTGTTTGGATAGCTTGGAGAAAAAAGACAAAATATAAATGTTTTCATTTTAAAAAATCAGACATAAACTGATAGCAGTAATATCAATCAATTTGTTTACAAGCAAAAGGCTCAAATGACAAGTTGAAATATAATCTAAAATTTGGCATTAAATAACAGTTTAACAACTGAAATATTTAATAAGTATTACCAAATATACTTAAAACTCTACTTGAGTGTGACATCAAGAGGAATCTGGAAAATCAAAAAGGGCCGCGGGTGATCACCATCTGAACAGCACCCTTGTTATATAGCCTGCACAACACATCATGGCAACCAGAAGTCCTGTATTAAAGGAGTATCTTTTTTGTAGCACTTAGGACCGCTTTATTAATGCATTTAACAAATGTGTTATTTATTTATCCAGTCGCAGAAACTGGAATCCCTAAAGGGTTTCTAGCGTTTAAACTGAACGATACTGGCTCATTGATATCACTCCGAATTAAATTTACTTTTCGGTCCTGCAATCAACGGGAATTGAAACTAAATTTGGGTGGACTGGCTCCTAATTGCCGCACGCTGTTCTTTAGCCTGAGCTCAGCGGTTCTCTCTTAGGCGTTTGTCATACGGCGCTGCACATTGCGGAGAATAAATTGCCCACTTCTGCCTCTCTCTCCTCATCCCACACTGATCCTCGGGCGAATCACGCACTCAATCCACTGCCCGGAGCCGAGGCGCTGCGAAGGCTTCCGCTCCCCCTCCCGTGCTCAAAGTTATGTGGGAAAGGGTGTCTGGTTCTTCCGAGGCCACCCATACTGCGCTCATCACGTCCCAGCCTTGAGGGAGGAGCCATGCTATTTGCAGCTTGCCCTGTAGCCTTACGCGAGAGGAAGGAGAGGGTGGAAGGAAGAGAAAATGGCTCAAGTCCGCGTCTTTGGGGGTCACGCGGTTACTGGAATCTAAAAGGATCAAGGGTCCGCCCACGTAGCCGCTATGGAAATATGACAGCTGAGGAGAGTCCAGCCAAAAGCTGACCCAAGCGATTGGGTCCTGCCTAATTCCGGTACGTAGGGGAGGGTTTGGGTCGCCACTATAAAAATTAGTATTATTCTGGATTGTTGAGCTCACGTTCAGATTCACTGTAAACAAAATTTGATTTCTTTCTAAAGGCCGAGGTGGATGATCACAACAAAGCTCACTTTGATCAGGTTTTTTGTTTACATCTGACGCTAATTTATTTGTTTACATTCGTTGTTTACTCCAAGCCTATCCCTTTTTCACCTCTTCTGTTAGACGTGGCCCTACTTGTGGCTGAAACCAGCCTCCCGGCGAGGATCTGGAAACTTCATCCCTTTCTCCCAAAATATACTCGCTTTGCTTTGGTGGACTTGAAAACGTCTAACTGTACCGAGGAACGCTGGATGTGGTGCAATACAGCCCAGCTACCTCCCGCAACTAACACTTCAAAGTTTTGCATCTCTACTTTGGGTCGCGTGCGTATGCGTGTTTAAAGGGAAAGAACTTGCCACAGTATTTGCTATCGGAATTCTCTCAGGACGGGGAAGGAGATTGAACAGCAGAAATAACATTGGGAAGAAGGTGCAAGGAATCGGGTGGGAGATAGCGGCGTTGTTTGGATTAAGCGATCGTAACCCCCGAAAGAACGAACTCCAGCTTCGGAAGGCCAGTGAACCGATGGCTACGAAATTGTCGACTTGTAGCTTTTAGAGAGGCTAGGGGGATATTCACCGTCGGAGCGCTAAAGACAAGGGCAGAGAAAGCGCGAGCTGCAGGAGAAGGGGAGGAGAAATCAGGCAGCCGAATGGGAGCCTGCTCTGAGAGTCCGGTCCGGGTTTTGCTTACAGCCCCGGGCATTAGCAATAGCGGCGGCAGCAAGAGGCAGCCCTTTGCAATGTGGTCCGCCTGTCTCGGCACTTGCAGAGCGAGGATGTAGAGGTGGGTTTGTCGTGGAGTTGCTGGCGGGGAGGGAGGGAGGGAGGGCAAGAACTGTTCTCGTCAGCTATCTTTAGCGCGATCAACTTATTTGCAATTCTGACTTTGTCCGCTCCGACCTCTTTCTTAATATGCCCGCCGCCGCCTGCTTTAGCTTCGCTGCCGCTCCTGAATGTGTCCGGCGGGGAGTCCGCTTCGCTGAGGTCCCTTTTTGAGAGAGGATACCTTGGGGCAGGTGTTAAAATCGCCAGCATCACCACTGGGCACGATCTGGATTTGCCTCTCTAATCCGGCTAGCGCCAGCGCGCGCGCAACACGCACACACGGACTGCCCGGGGTGGCGGGTGCAGCTCTCCTTCCTCCCTCTGCTTCACGGCTGCTATTCTTGTAGCTCCGGACCGCTTAGCTTCTGGTAGGTGCAACAATCTGAAGAGGCCTTTTCTCTGGGTTCTATATGTAGATGTAGGGCGGGAAGGAGGAAAGTCTTGCGGAAAAGTTTGCGGCGGTGAAGTAATTCCCTTCCCTTCGGGTGCTGCCGAGTGGATGGCGTAAGTCCCTCTGGCTTCCTTCCACCTTCCGCGCCGCCTTCCTCCGTCCCTCCCTGCTTTCCTTCTGGGGAGGTGTTGCTGCCGCAGCAGCACATCCACGCTGGTCTCAGATCAGTGGCTCCAGACAAAAAGCGAGGGGGGATTTGGGGTGTGTGCCGCGTGCGATTCTGAGCAGCGCCAGCGGCAAAAGAGCAGCTTCGGGAGGTCCCCTGAAGAGGGCGGGCTCTTCCCTCGATCCCGAAAGCCAACCCGGGGCAGAGACCTCGGCTCCTTTTCTGTTTCTGCAGGAAGAGAAGCGGCCGGAGCTGCCCGCCGAGGCTGTGAGTGGACCCGCCAGGAAGGTTCGGCCAATTCTCGTTTTTCCTGGTCCTTGGGGTTTTGGGGGGAGGGCGTGGGGGGGGGAGTGAGCGCTTGGTTCGTGGCTGCTGAGCAAAGTTTTGTTTGGAAGATTTAGCGCCCCCCCCCTTTCCCTTCCTTTAAGGCGACAGCTGCCAGCTTTCAGCGTACGGGATTTATTGCAGGGTCTCTTTCCGTTCTCCTCCCTCTCGGGTCGGCCACTGCATTGAAGATCGAGAGCTCCTCCCCCCCATCCGCCCCCTGGGCCGCCTAATCGGTGGTTCGTTTCCCAGGTTACAGCCGTAGTGTCTGCAGCTAGCCAGCCAGGCGTTGAAGGCTGCTGGGTCTGGCTGACCCACCACGTCGTCCCTGCTCTGCTTGTGCGAGCAGGCGGCGGATTAGAGAGGCGCCCGAGCCTTGAGGAGCGCCTCTGCAGGGGCTGTCAGCTGTTTTCGCCTCTGCTTCTCCCCGCCAGGTCTTGCCGGACAGTGGGCGAGCCTGGCTGGCGCTTCCATGCCTGCCTCCTGCAGCGCCTGAAGCTGGGGGCGGGGGAAGAGGGAGGGAAGGAGGTTGGCTGGCTCTGCTACTGATGACCTTACCCAAAATATGCGGTCGGCAGGAAAGAAGAGACGTCCTAGAAGCTTAATTTCTTCGGCAAGGAAGGCTTCATTTCACCTTCTTCTCTTACTTGAGGTGGTTTCACGAAATAAGCAGCAAAAAAGTTAGAAGTCACGGATTCACTTGAAGATTATTTTGTAAACAGCATTTGCTTCTGATTCCTGGTTGGTTTCTGGGCTATCCATTTATCTTGTGGTGGCAGCCACACTTTTTTCTTTCCTTTGCAGTTCGTTGCTTAGCTTTAAATCTGCAGACTTGGGAGATTGTAGAACTGCACCACTATGCAGCTGTTTGCTATGTTGGCAGCTAGAAGCTGTGTGAGGCAAGACTTTCCTTCCCCACTAGGACCCCTTTCCTTAACCCCACTAACCTTAAACCCTGAAGGGAGAACCAAAGTTGCTGCTCTCTTCCACGCTCTGACACCCTTCCCCCATCCTCACTAAACTGCTCTTTGGCTCGCAGCAGCAGGAAGGAGTTTCCAAAAGGTAACTGGGTTTGTTGGTGGCCAAAAGAATATGGTTCGAAGAAACAGGAGCAGATGCAAAAGCAAGGGCTTGTTGATATTTTGCCTTAATTAGGAAAATCAAAAAGCAAACTGATATATTTTAAAGTAAACTTAATCCAAATTTGTTTCTTAATTGAGCCGTTCATTTCAGGCAGCAGGCCCTACCACCCATCAGCTCATGTTCATGATGCTTAGTCCTTCCTATATTGCTGTTGGTTACAGGCTATGTGCTGTGATCCTTGCTGGAGTTCACTGCTTTTCATGTTTTTCATGATTGACCATTTGGAAATTTCCATCAGTAGGTGAGAGAACCTTACTAAAGCGCTCCACTGCATTTTATGCCACATCTGTTTGCCTTAAAGGTATGTAGAGTTTTAAGCAGTGACGCTGCCTGATAATACATTGATAGTAAGTGGAAAAGCCTGTGGAGTGGGCCTTATCAGTGTGGGTGGGTGGGTGGGGCTGGGATTTGACTACAGTAAAATGTGTAGGGTGAGAAGGAGAAAGAGCAGAATATCTGTTTGCTGTGCTCAGAAAGAATCAAACCTCCTCAAGGATTTCCTGTCAGCAAGACCTGAATTTAGTGTCAGATAGATGGCAAGTTTGTCCTCACAACTAGTTGTGACTCCCAAGAATAGCATTGCAGTTATTAATGTGACCCCCCCTCCTATATTCCCCTTTCCCTTTGCAAGCTGGTAAATAACATGCTAACCTCCTTTCTATGCACCAATTCCTGTAAACTTTATTAAGTAGCAATGGCCCTTTCAGCTTGGTTGAGAGTATTGAAAAGCAAAAGGTTTATTCTATGTTCTGCCTTTCATTTTGTAACAGTCTTTTTGGCCTCTTGTGGTGTCAGGATCATTCTGGAAGAAAAAAAAGATGGCTGGTGATTAAAAGTGATTTTGCAGTCTGACTCCAAAATCTATCTAACTTTTGCCAATATATCTTTTTTTATAATCCTTCTCATCTCTCTCTGTCCCTCTCTCTCTCACACACACACCATACATTTCCTTTTTTTCTTACTCAACCATAGCTTTTCAGTTTTCTACCTCTCAACCTGCTTAGTCTTCCTACATGTAATTGTTTTGCAATTGCAATTTGTAGTATGTTGCTATACAGGTAGTCCTTGACTTACAACAGTTCATTTAGTGACTGTTCAAAGTTACAACGGCACTGAGAAAAGTGACTTACGATCAGAATTAAGATGCTTGGTAAGTGGTTCATATTTATGACTGTTGCTGTCTCCCAAGGTCACGTGATCACCTTTTGTGACCTGACAAGCAAAGTCAATGGGGAAGCCAGATTCACTTAACAATGGGGTTACTAACTTTATCAACTGCAGTGATTCACTTAACTGAGGCAAGAAAGGTTGTAAAATGTCCTTAAACTCACTTAAATGTCTCACTTAACAGAAATTTTGGGCTCAATTGTGATCCTAAGTCGAGGACTACCTGTATAACCAAGTCATCTGTGTGTGTGTGTGTGTGTGTGTGTGTGTGTCTGGTCTATGGTGTGCTTGTGTACTGGTGAATTCACTTTTTTGTTCAGCTCATTACCTGTTCATGCTTAACCTTATCACTTCTTGCTTATTCAGAAACACTTCTTCAGTGATCTATTCCCATGCATTCAACTTTTTTGGTTTTTTCTCAATTCCCATATTGCTCATTAGCCTGATATGGGATGATATCTAAGCCTGCCTACTACAAATATTTAAAACTAGGAAAAAAATGAATGCAGTGTTCTTGGTAATATTTTATTACATGTGGTCTTCTCAATGTATTTCTTTTTATTGTTCCCAAATATGATTGTGTTCTGGTAGAGATTCAGAAATGTCATGTTTGCATTTTTAGAGATTCAGATAGATAGGATCTGTAATTCTGTAGCTTGCATGAGGCGAACAGGTGTTTTCAAGACTACTTTTATGTTCAGTGAGTCATACACAAATCTTTTAACAGTACACTTTGAATTCTTTTGTATTTAATTTGCATATCCGGTTGTGGCTCACTCAATTGTAGTTCTTAATTGCAGCTACCATTGGCTGGATTGCTCTGTCTCCTTCCAGCTCCATTGGGTATCCATCTTAGATGCATCTGCAAACTTTTGCCTTTTTGTGAATTGTGCTATCTTTATTTTATACTAGTTGCATGCCAGAGTGCAAGATGTATATACATTACAATTATGTTACCGACCTGCTCATTTAATGACATTTATGATAGGGTGTTTGTGCTTACATGTGTACACAAAGATGAGAGAGTTTCATATTGCATATTTTTCAATCCTCCAAAGTCATCTGTTTGTTTCTGCTTGAATACTTTGCTTTTGAGTACTTCAAAATAATTTAAATCTCAATCCCAGAAGAGTCAGAACAGTATAATTCTGTTTTAGTAGATAGTTCCAGTCTAATATTATAATGAAATTATTCTGATTTTTTTAGATGAATTGATTTGAATTGTTATCAAAGTTGTTGTGCAGTTTGATTTAATTAGATGGGGGATCAACTACAGTTCAAATAAGTATGCATACATGATATATATATATTCTATAATGTGCTTGAACAGGCTTTTTACTGTACACATATGTGCCTACTTATTCTGATCAATTGTCTTTAAAAATAAAAAAAACCCTCAAATTACAAATGGTTTTTATTCACAATGGTATGTTTTGCAATTTTTAAAGAAAAAAAATTAAATCTCTTTTAACCAAATATTTGAAATCTAATTTGAATAGAAGAAAAAATATGATTTTTAAAAATTACTGTTTTTTATTCTTGCATCTATCCAACTGAAACTCTTGCTTATATAAACTTAAGCTCAGTGCCCTGATTTTTAAGTAATACTTAGCTATAGTGCCATTTGTTTCAATACAATGTGAATAAGCATTTAGGAAGTCAGAGGTCAGTGACTGAAAGTGATTGTGTAGGGTCTAATTTAAAGTTGAGTAAACCAAAGAAATCAAGAGCTTAAAGTGCAGTTAAAGTGTTTTAAGGAGTCACCAAATACTAAACAGATTGATGAATTTGTGCTTTGAAAAAAAAATCAAAATCTACTTTATATAGATGAAAATCATAATGCCCAAGACACAAAAAGTTGTTTTTCATTTCTGTGTTGTTTGTAGGATCAAATGTCACTTTAAGTAAAGTGTAGTAGATGAGTCTTCTGCATCGCTGCATTTCCCTTCATAGAGCAGGGAAACATCTCAAACTGCAATTTACAGTCCCCCCCCCAGCCACATTCAAACCTAAATATTGTAGTGGACAACTTCCAACATTGTTTTGACTATAACATAATTGGATTATCTATATATGGCCAGTGAGTGTTTTAGAGGAGAATGGGCAGTATATCAGCTGCAGTTAAATTAAGGACTGGAAATACTCAAGATAGCAATAGCACTTAGACTTGTATACCGCTTCACAGTGCTTTACAGCCCTCTAAGTGGTTTACAGAGTCAGCATATTACTCCCAACAATCTGGGTCCTCATTTTACCGATCTTGGAAGGATGGAAGGCTGAGTCAACCTTGAGCCTTAATGAGATTTAAACTGCCAAATTGTAGGCAGCTGATAAGCCTCGACTTACAATTATTCGTTTAGCAACTGTTTGAAGTTCAATGGCACTGAAAAAAGTAACATGATCGATCCGCACGCTTAAAACTGTTGCAGCATCCCCACAGCTGTATGGTCAAAATTCGGGTGCTTGTATTTACGACAGTTGCAGGGGTCATGTGATCACCATTTGCGACCTTCCCAGCTGGCGCCCAACAAGCAATGTGAGATACACTAAACAATTGTGTGAGGCACTTCACAGCTGCAATGATTCGCTTTAAAACTGTGACAAAAAAGGTCATAAAAGCAGACATGACTCACTTAACAACCATCTTAGCTATGGAAATTCTAATCATAATTGTGGTCATAAGCTTATACAGGTTATTTTATTGATGCTCTGAGTATTCCTTCAGAGATGTTGGAATATTTGAAACAATATTTTATCTCAAATAGGGAGCAAAATTTAGAGCATTAGTTAACAATACTAGAAACTGCTGTTTCATAGTTTGGTACATCTGCCACCTTTTACTTTCCACTATTTCAAGGAAACACTAAAATGATTTTTGATGGATGAATCTATCTATCCATCCATCCATCTATCAATCCATTCCTTCCTTTATTGATTAAAAAAAAGCTTAAAAGAGAAACAGAATTTTTTTTTTTTAAGAAAGAAGAAACTTGGGAAAGAAAAAGAGTTCAAGAAAGAGGAAGAAAAGAGAGAAAAATAGAAAAGCAATGCCTTTCAATGTTCTTTGGTACTGATATGTAAAAATATATCAAACCCTTTCTCTAAGATCAACATTTGTGTAGATTATTTCCATAATCACATTGATTCTAATCTTCAAGTCCCAAAATCAACATTTCATTTCTTTCAATTTCTTTCAAAATCCAAAAATGGTTTCCAAGTAAAAATAAAATTTCTCAAAGTTTTTTCTATCAACACTTTCAATCTTTCCATCTCCACCAATCCCACCACCTTCACAACCCATATTTTCATTTGTAAAGGTATTTGTAATTCCTTGCACTCTTGAACCTGTAAAAATTCCTCTGCCATTATCATACATAAAAACAAAGCCTCATAAGAAGCCCCCATTTGTTTGTCCATTAAAAGCTCAAAAG